AACAGCCACCTCTCCCAGTCTGGAAGGAATGGCCTTATGTAGGAGATAAACCTTATTGTTCACCACTACCCTAGATCTTGGTTGTCTCTCAAGCCTTTGTGATTGTCTATCCAAGCAGCCAATTTTTTATAGCTCCCAGTAGTTGATGGTGTGAGAAGACTTGTCAGTGTCCCAAAGGAGAGGATCTCAGTTAGCATCTAGATTCAGACTGATTGGAAGCCAGATCCTCAGACAGCAGCTTTTAAAGAATGTAAATATATTCAGTACTGTGGGACTGGAGGTGTAAGCCCTGCTGGCCACCAGAGCTAGGCAATCTAGAGGTGTCTCCTTGGTGTCAGTCACAAAAATAAGGGCTCCAGATGAACATGTAAGTTCCTTTCTTATACACTCTTAAGTGTATAGAGTGTATAAGACACTCATAACAAGACAGAGGGTTAATACAAAGATGGCATCCACTGGATTATGTTTGCTGAGAGAATATCCATAGACCCCCTACACTATATGTGTGCCAAACCTGAAGCCTGCCCCTCAGGCCAAAGCTCCAGGCAAGCCAAAAGGCCTCTTACATGGAAAGACTAGGGCCATGTTTCAGTCTGCAGTCTGCGCAATGCCCTGGGGGAGATTGCCTGCCAAAATCCCTCTCCCCAATTGTTACAGTCCCACAGGACCCAGAAATGCTAACCCCCCTGGCCACCAGAGCCAGGTGATCAACAGGAAGCCCCTGGGTGGCAGCTCCAAAAACTGGGGCACTAGACATAAAAACTAGGGCACCAGTTGTCTGTAAGAAATCTTCTCCAAGAGATACCCTGTATCACAGCTGAGGGAGAGCACAAAGATAGCACCCTTCCTCCAAGGTCTCCACCTCAATGTGTTCTCTTTCTCACTTGTCTGATGTGTAGGAGTCGCTCAGCCAGTTTTTAGGTTTTTACAGAGGAAATTCTTCCATATGTAGCTGTAGTTTTGGTGCATCTGTGGGAGGAGGTATGTTCAGGATATTCTTATATCACCATCTTGAACCCTATTATGAAACTTTTATTTTTTTGAGGAAGATTAGCCCTGAGCTAACTGCTGCCAATCCTCCTCTTTTTGCTGAAGAAGACTGGCCCTGAGCTAACATCCATGCCCATCTTCCTCCACTTTTTATGTGGGACGCCTACCACAGCATGGCCTGTCAAGCGGTGCCATGTCCGCACCTGGAATCCGAACCGGTGAATCCCGGGCCTCTGAAGCTGAACGTGCGCACTTAACTGTTGTGCCACGGGGCTTGCCCCTGAAACTTTTTAATACACTTTTTCACATTCTTCAAATGAAAAACCACGGGAATGCAGTATTTTCTATGTCTTCATTAGAGGAGAGAGAAACAGATTAAAAAATATTTCATTATTTTACAAAAATTAAAAACAACATTTGCAGATGCTCGTTCTGTCCTCTTTTCACTTTCATATTTGCTCCTGTTGAAGTTTCCTCCTTTCTATTATCTTTCATCTGGAATATTAGACTTAAAATAATGCACAATTTTGATGCTTTTCAGTTTCATACATAGTCTGGAAAAGAGAGAAATGAATAAAAGTGTTTACAGAAATGAAAAAAGAAAGCATTCTGTTGTAGCTAATTACTTTTTCTTTTTTTTTTAAGATAATGGTGAATTTGTCATTACTATTGAATTTTCAGATGGTCAGTTGGACACCTCTATGAAATTAACCTAAACATAACCTAAAATTAGGAGTTAATTCAGAAGCTAAATCCAACTTAAAGTCCATTATTTAAATTCTATTCACTTATCATTCACTAGTTTCTAAATTTTAACTTCAGACTAATTAATGTCCTTGTTTTATGTTTGCTGTAAATTAAGTGTTTTTACAAGGAAGGAAACCATGATCTCAAATATGCAGGATAAAATAAATTTTTCATATTTGAAATTTGAGACCTGAGAATTTGCGAGAAAGCTATTAACACAATTTCATATTCAAAAAGTAGTCATTTATAAATTGTCATGGCCTAATAATTTTGACAAGAAATATAACCTCTTTGAGTTGCGATTTTAAGAGTTTGAAGAAGGGATATTCACAAAAATTATATATGGTGTTAAAACAGTTTTTGACTTAGTCCATTGTTAAATATTTAACATTGAAATATTTAAAGTATGATACTGCCTTTGCCCTCAATGATGCTTGAAGTCAAGTCACAGAGAATTCATTTAAAAAATCCTGTATAGTTGGCAGTATTTTCCCTTTATCTCAGAGACTAGTAATTTGTTGCCTCCAACTCTCAAGTGGTACAGTATTTTACAAAATCCTATATCATTTTGTTACTCATTTGGGCTTGAATAAATGTCTTCCAAATTATATGATATAGATCAATGTCTCATGGAATATTTCACCAAATTCAGTGTTTTTCATGAAATAGGATTTTAAAGATAATTATATAGAATCTTGTGTGAGCTGAGAATTTCTCCCGTAAGTTAATCATTTGCAGTCCAATTCTATTACAATTCATCTGTAAGTACACACATATACACACATACTCACCTAGGTGCATACTTTATATAAAGGAAATATCAAAATAAATATCAATGCATAATCTAAAAGTATATTCTACATACATACTTGGTTAGAATTTTTTAATTTCTTTTTTGCCTTCAGATGTTTAGTTCTCATGCTGCTTTTCACAAGGTGCTAATTAAGACAAGGTAGGGGAATCAATCCACACATAGGTCAGTTATGCTGACTTTGTACTTGAACATACCCTTTTCACGTAGCAATGTGCATATCACGATGTGCAGCAATTGTGCTGGGTAAGTGGATCCACATGGATGAGTCCAATGATAACTGTCAACTCCTGGAAAACAAAGCAGACAAACAAAACCTCACAAACAATGTTAAGTATTCATGGGTGGGCAGCATCACATTCACTCAAAGCAGTGGCACAGTGTAAAGACATGGGTAGGATACTTCATCTTTAAAGATATAAATAAATCATTATATTTCTCCACATGTAGGTCATTCTTAATAGTGTTAAGGGCTACAAAGTTTGTTTCACTAAGAAACCTGAGCAAAAACTTCAAACTGACATTGTTCCAAACGTAATGTGAAACCTGAAAGCATGAACATTCTCCCTTAGGCAGCTTATCGTATTGCTGTATTGCTGGACAGTTTACTGACACAGATTCTTTTGAATTCTCATAGAAATTAATTTTTCTCTTTTAAAACACATTTGTATACATATATGTTATAGCTGATTTAGTTTCTTGTGTTTCTATCTATATAGATATGTAAATATTATATAGGTATGTCTCTCTCTATATATGTCTGGTATATCTGTATGTATATTAGACCTAAATAGGTAAGAAAATCTCTGTTAAGGTTTTTATATACTAAACAGCACAATAAATGCTCAGAGGCAGTATTATGCGCTATTTCTTTTTATTTACAGCAACAATCCCTGTATATGCTGAACACTAAAACACCAATGAGAATCTATAAATTAAGTTGAAAATCAGACTTTACATATGAAACATCAATGGGAGCCCATAGGTTAAAGTGAAAATTAGTAATAGTAATGGGTTAAGTAGAAATGCAGTTTTGGAAGTAGCTTTTATTTTAAGCTATAGATTAATCACCAATATGGGCTTCCTTTGGAGGCATGCTTTTAGTCAGCTATTTCAGCAAAATTCTCAGCACCACTTAAAATACTTTATTTTCATTTAGCTTTTACAGTTTCTTGACATTTCTGAGCCCAATCTGCTTCCTCTTTTGGTCTGCCAAACTTTGTAGAAATAGCAGTAATAATGATAATATCAATAACAAACTGTAGTGATTCAATCTATCATCTATCTATCTACTAATTTCACTGGTGGCCTCACAGTGCTTAACTAAATTACTTTATTATATCTTACTACAAATACCACAACCACCATTCTAAAAATTTTTCTATGTACTCTCTGCAACATTCAACACAACTACCCACTCTTTGTTGACAAACTTGCTTCCTACAAGGAATACTAGCTTGATCAATTTCTCCCCTCTTCATTTCCACCCTCAATGCCTCTTTTTCATTTTCATCTCTGAGGACTAGCTGGTTGTTGTTTTTATTTTTTAGAGTTAACCTTTTTCTTGAGCTCATGGTTCTTTGAATTACCATCACTACTAGGTCTGTGTCTTCAATTATCCTCCCCCTTTGCCTTAAATTTCTTGCTAACAACTGATTTCCTCCTCTGTCCTAACAATATGTCAAGGTCTCTTTTTATCTTAAAGAGACATCAACAATAATATGAAACAATCAATTAATCAGGGAAGAAACAAATTAGCATGTGAAAAGGCATTTCAAACATGATCATTTTTTTCTTTATTTAATCTCTTTTTAATTTTATTTTCTAGGCTATAGTAGCCTGTTATTAAAATGGCTTCTGAATATTCACAAACTAGTTATTTCTGCCTCTATACACACTCTTCTTGTATGAATTCCAGCCCCTCTCTAATTCCTTACAATTAATTCTAGGACTTCCCAGGAAGACATTTATACTCATTCTATGAATTTATACTACTATCTACCATGTGACAACTTTTCTCCCACATGTATGTGATTTCTCTGCCAATGGCAAATATTGCAACCACACAGACGCTGCCCTGCTGAGGCCCAGGCTGTCCATTTTAGTGTCTCCAAATGGGGGTTCTGCTATTTGAGCTAAGATAACTGTCTTTCCCTTGGCTGAAGCTGCTAACATCAAGGCTGCTGCACCTTCTGCACTCTTAGTCTTGTCTTTTTTCTGTCTTTGTTGTAAACAGTCCTTGTACCCAAAACTCAGATGTACCAGTCCTCAAAGCCTGGGCCAGAGGGCAAACTGATTGGCAGGCATCACGTACTTCAATCATTCATTTTCTCTGTTTTTCCTGTCTCTGTTACCTTAGGATAAGATATATTCTTAAATGATTCCTTGACATTAATTTTCTTTCTTTTTACAATTTGTATGATTTTTAATTCTTTTTCTTGCTTTATTGTAGACCCAAAAATCTCCAGCACAGTGATGAATGGAATCATTAGAGTGGACATTTTGCTTTATTCTTGAAAGCATTCAGTCTTTCACAGTTAAGTATGATAGCTTTATCTTTCATAGATGACCTTTATCAGATTAAGTAAAATTATTTCCATTTCAATTTCCATGAGAGGTTTTTTTTAAATCATGGATATTTTGTATTATAAATTTTGTGAAATGCTTTTTTTGCAAATATTGACCTAATCATGGTTATTTCCCCTCCTTTATTGTATCCATATGGTGGATTACATGTATTAATTTCAAATGTAAGCCAACTTTCAATTCTTGTGATAAACCCTTCTTGGGACATGCTGTATTTATATATTGGCAGATTTGATTGTTGATATTTTGCTCATGATATTTGAGACTACATTCATGAGTGATATTTGATAAATTTATTTTCTTCTAATGTCTTTGATAGGTTTTGATATCAGAGTTAAGTTTGCCTCCTAAGGCAAATTGAAATGTGGTCATTCTGTCTCTCATGTGCCAAACAAGTTTCCTTGGTATTATTTCTTTCTGAAATGCTTCTGGAATACAATATCACAATAATCTGGGTCTGAAATTGTCTTTGGTCAGAAGATTTTGATAATTTCAATTTATTTGATAGATTCATGGCAATTGAGATTTTCTATGTAATCTTAAATTACTTTTGATAAACTGTATGTTTTTAAGGAAATTCATTTTATGAAATTATTCATAATATCCCTTTTTATCCTTTTGATGTCTATAGGATCTGAAGTGATATCACTTTTTTCATACCTGAAATTGGTGATGTATGTTTTCTCTTTTATCTCTTGATTATTCTTACTGGGGATTTATCACTTTTATTAATCTTTTCAAAGAAGACATTTTGACTTTGTTAATTTTCTGTTTTCATGATTTCTATTCTTTATTATTTCTTTCCTTCTGCCAGCTGTAGATTTAATTTCCTCTATTTTCTTGCTTTTGTCTTTCTTCTTTTCTAATAATAGCATTTTCTAGTGTTTTCTAATAATAGCATATTTCTCATATTTCCTAATAATGGCATTGCTTTAGCTGCATCTTACAGCTTTTTAGATATGTTTTATTATTCATTATCACTCAGCTTGAAATTGTTTTTAAATTTCTCTTGAGATTTCTTTATTGAGACATGGATTTTTTGGAAATGCATTACTCAACTTACAAATGTTAAAGGATTTTCTAGATATCTTATTATTAAATTCTAATTTGATTTCGTTATGGTGAGATAACAACTATTTCAATATTTTGAAACTTATTGAGTCTTAGTTTATGGTCCTGCATATGGCATACCTTAATGAATGTTCCATGCACACTTGAAAGGAATGTGTATTTTACAGAGGTTGGAAACAGTGTTGTATCAGTGTCAATTAGGTCAAGATGTTTGACAGAGTCATTCAGATGTCTGTATTTTCACTGTTTCTGTGACTAGTATCAAAGGTTCAGAAATAGCCAAGATAAAACCAATGAATCATCAAAGTGGTAATTAGTAAAAATTTATTGTGCACATATCAAAAGGACACTTTGAAAAACAGGAGTATTCAAACCAAAACATGGAATGAGGCTCAGGGGTATATTATTACAAAGTGGTTTATATAGTGAGAAGGTAGTGTTTTTACAGTGACTGGTAATTAAGCTAAAATAATGAGTAAACTTGTTTTGTCTGCTCAGGAAAACTTCAAAGCTGGTCTCCACTTGCTTTTGATTTTAACAATTCTTCTCTTTTGGTCATTCCCTCAGCAGGGTGAGAGTATGACCAACTATTACAGTGTTATTCTTGGTTACCACTATTCATGTAGTCAGGCTGAAGGATCATGCATTTGCTGTTTTCATTAGTTAAGTCATCAGGCCAGAGGGCCATGTAGTCACCATCTTCGTCATTTCCATGATTATTGTTGATTTTACCTAGTTGTCTGATCCTGGTGGATACCATTTGGTGAGTGGCTGCTGACATGCATTTAAAGCCCTCAAAAGTATATAATTCACTAGAGAGGTTAATATGATGACTACAAGGAGAATAATAGCCAAGGAGTGAAACATTTTTCAGAGCACAGATTCCCAGGCACCAATTAAATATTAGCAATCATAACAGATGGAGCAAATTTTATATTCAGTTTCTGTGTTTGGAGAGCATCCAGTTAAGAAAATTTGTCAGGTTTGAAGCATCTTCAGATGGAGTGAGGGCAAGCAGAGGCAATCTGAGAATTTTTCCTGGTCTGTAGTCTGAATGTCTCTGATGATCTTTCTGAGTGACCACATAGCAACAGGCGTGAAGATTGTCTATACATGAGTTGTCATGGTGATTTATCTGAAGTTTACTTCCAACTTCAGCTTGCATGGCTTCAGGAAAGGAGTAATTTTAGTTTCATAATGATTACAAGTCAAAAGAATGGGAGAAAATTGGAAATGTTAGTTTGGAGAGTTCTAGCCAAATATTGGAGGAAAAGACAATCAATAGTAAACTTTTCCCTCTAAAATCACCCTCATTTCTATGAAGGCTGGCCAAATTAAGACTAATTGTTTGTAAAGTAAGCCTAACCTCAATAAACTTCACCTGATTATTTATATACGTGCAAGAAGAATAGTGACTGACCATACAAATCTACTCTGCTGGAACTTTCATAAGGACTCTCAGATGGAACTTTTAAAAGCCTCTCAAGGCCGGGAATTCAAGACAAGGACTAGCCATCTGACTTTGCCTATAGATTTGGATAAATTCCTCTCTTCTTGAGGTCCCCAAAATATTACAAGGTTCCTAAACCTGCCAAGAAATGACCTTCATTACTCACCTGGTAAGTCCGATGGGAACCTGCAAGCAAGGTACAAGGTTAATATTTTCAAGGGGCTTTATTGGCCTCCTAAAGTCAACCCTTGTTCCTTAAGGCTGTCTGGTCATATCTGAGTCTATGTACATCTCTCTCAAATATGACATTTCAGTCAAAGTCTCAGTAATATAACCAATGTTTCCAATCTTGTCCTGTTACAAAAAGAACACATTCTTATTGAACTCATGCAAATAACTATATTGCCATAAAGAATATTCACTAGGTTCCCAAATTCTGGAGGGATCAGGTAGGGAGAAAAAGTAATTGCTTCAATTCTGCTTACAAAGGTAGAATTTACCACATTGCTGTAAGTCATAGTTAGCTCAAGAGGAAAAGTTTCCTTATATCTGCAACACAAAAGACTAAAGAACCAGCAATATTTTAAACAAAAGTCATAAAAATTGTGATCATCCTCAACAGTTCATTCAATACTATGTTATCAATTCTTATTCTGCTTGAATCTAATTTTTCTGTTAGTTCTGGAAATTTTTACCCAGTTCAGTTTTATGATCTTTAAAGTTACCAGAAAATTGTATTTGTCAAAGTTAATATTATATTAGGAAATATCAGATTTCCAGGAATTTTAGATAACTTCTGAAACACTTGTAATGCACACAACATAAAGGAGGCTTATTTGACAATGCTTCCCATGTAATTTAACATAATATCTCCTTTTTTTTATGAAGAGAGAGAACAAATCTTTTGAGATGCTCCAGGAATGCTCTGAAAAATTCCAGTTAGTTCAAGTTCAAAAGAATTTGATTTTGGCAAGTTTGTCAAAAATATAAAGAATTTTGGACACTTTGTCAAATAAGATTATATAGTTTTTCTTTTAATTTATCAAAAACTTGGTAAAGACAAAACACAGGATTTTTGTTTTCTAGACAGATTACACTAGAGGTAAAGAAAAATCTTTGTTTACATGCAGTACAGTGGGAAAGGATACATCTAGACCCTGATTTTTTCTTAGAATAATTCCTTCCATAAATAAGACTTTACATATGGAAAATGTTAAGGACATGGCTTAAGAAATCTAGACCACATTTTTTGTAGTTTATTGTCACCCTGGCCACAAAAAAACATTTTTCAAGTGGATGCTAAGGCAAATAATTAAATAAAAAGCAGTTTCTAATGTAAATCCACATCTGATTTGGACATGAACACAGCATGATTGTGTTATTTGTCAAGAAATAGTATTCAATATTATACATTATAGGTTGTGAAAGACTAATATATTTTCTGTGGCTATTTTATGTAGATCAAACATTTAACAAACCTTTATTAAATATGTAATGTGTGGAAGGTATATTATTAACTGCTATAGTGGATATATAAGGGGATAAGTTGTATGTTTGTGTGTGTGTGTGCATGCTCACGTGTGGTCAAATTTTAATAAAGCTCCCAAGCTACAAAAAGTATAGAAATCACAGTGAAGTTTTCAAACAAATGATTTTAATTTTCACATGGACTTCTAAATGTACAATTAAAAGAGAAATAAATACATTAGTTGGCAGGCTCATATAGTTATAGTAACAATTTGAAAATCGGGCATGATTGGAATCACTCTATTGATTGTCCAACTGCCAAATTAATCTGTGATTATTCTTTTTAATCATTGGAATCTTGGTTTGGTAGAAATGAATGTAAGTATCAAAATTCCTTAAGTATTTAAAAATGTGAAGACAAATTCAAATCACATGTAAACTTTAAAGAACTGAAATTTAACTATCACCATGGAATATTACTAAACCCCAAATGGACAAATACAACGCTTCTTTTTAACTCTATTGGCAGCAGTAGCCAATCAATTGAAATGTTCCTACAAATCCAATCATGAGCAGCTTAAGTCCTAAAACTGTCATGACAGATTTCTGGTTTTATCTCCAAAATTTAAAGATCCTGGAAGTTGCCACATACAGTTTTTTGACAAAAAATAAAGTGAAACAAACTGAAATCTATGGCTTTTCTTGGACCATCAGAGAACTAAAGTCACAGAGCAAATTGTCACCTGAAATCTAGAGAGATGTAAATACAGAGGATCACATCTAAGATATGCTTTATTGGAGCAGAAGTTGCTGAAGCCATGAACTGGTAGTAATACTTTAAGGCTAGTTTTTATGAACTCTAGAGGCTGAGTGTAGACTAGCATATGCGTAAGAGATTCCTTGAAAGAGGTGCCATCTTATGAGGGCCCCTGCACATTTGTGGGTTTTACCTCCAGGAACCCCACCAAGTTCTCATTATGAAGAGCCAAGAGAAATATCCTCATGGTTCTTGAAGGGGGCAGAGAAAAGGAACCATTTTCAAATATTTCCAGAAAATTATTCATAACAAATGCTTACTTCCCAAAGGAAAAACTTTATCAGAGCCTTTTTTCACTTGGGAGTAGGGCTATTACCCAACTCTGGCCACTTCTAGCCTTCCTGTCTCATCTAAGGGGATAAGGGAGCTAAGAAACGCTTGTGAAGATCACAGACTGTGGACAAAGGCCTGCTAAAAGACTAAAATTTAATTATAAGATCATAGAATGCTTTCTCTCTCTTATAACACTACATCATTAGGGCTCCAGTATATTAGCAGTATATTTTTGCTATGAGAACTACAAAGTGTGGGCTTCATATAAGAAAGAGATATTAGGAAAAGATTAAGACAACAAGTGAGACAAGAATGAAGAAGCTATAGAAATTTGATGTCTCTGACACCTACAACTATAGCAAATATTAGACACAGCCCAACTCCAAGGCAAATTAACATAAAACTTTACACTAAAGGCCTATTTAACTTTGTCCCTCTTATCTGGGATATCATGTCCAGCTTTCAAGAAAAAATCACTAATCGTGCTAGCAGAAAAGGAAAAGCACAGTCTGAAGAGACAAAGCACGCATTACAACTAGACTCAGATATGACAGAGATTTGGGAATTATCAGACGGGGAATTTAAATTAAATATGA